TCATATCTGTTACATGTTTGTAGAACTAGAAAAGCATACTAACCATGTCAATAATTTTATTTAACTTTTTTTCTTGGGTGTGCTCCAAAACTTACTGAAATTTGGTTACTTGGAGGAATAATATAGAAAGCCAATCCATAAATATGTCAACATCCTTCAAAATCCAGCTCAATCAATAGGAGACTTTCTTTATAAATTTCTCCTGTTAGCTTCTTACACAATACACTCAGTAAGGACGTAACAAATGACATCCTCTTTGGTTTAGTGGGTTTCAGGTCACTGGCGGACAATTTTGGTGATGTTTTTATTTTGGGTAATCTAATAAACACAATATTGGAGTTAACTTCATTTTTGACTTAGTTAAGTATTTCTCATTCATTTATTCACTTATTTGATCAGTATGTATTTTTAAACACCTAATATGCACAAGACACTGAACTATAGGCAAAGACACTATAAAGATAAATACTATACCGGCTTGAATTCAAAGGACTCAGGTGGAGATACAAAAAAAAGAAAGGCAATCACACTATAGTTGACAGTGTATAGAAGTATGATAAATACATCTTGAAGAGTATAAAAGATGGTTCCCAATCCCAGCAAAGACTTCTTGAAAGAAGTGAGATAGAATTACGAATTAGTATATGAATAGGAACTTGCCATATGAAGGCAGTTAGAAAGTAAAAATAGAGATTAACCAAGTTGGTAATAAAGGCATTTCAGGAATTAGAAAGAGAAGAAGCAAAGGTGGAGAGGCAATAAACAATTTTGTCTTGTGGTCAGGGACAAAAAGTAGTTCGGGGTAACTGGACAAGGAAATGTGAGGTATGAGTAGTAAGAGCTGAGAATCAAGAGCATTGAACAGGAACCAGATGGTGAGATATTGTTTATTCTCTGAAGAACTCAGACTTTTAAACTGTGGGCATTAGAGAGCCAAGGAAATATTTCGAGAATGGTGATTATGTGGTTGAGTTTCCATGGCATTGATAACTTGGGTGTACATGTAAGTATGTGGATTGTATATTTGCAGGGAACAAAACTGGAAGAAAAAGGGCCTGCTATGAGATTCCTACTGTTCAGGTGAGAAATGAGGTAGGCCTAATCTAGGTATGACAGAACTTGATTATGGTTGGATAAAGCATGAGACAGATCAAGAAATCAAAAGTACTTTCAAAGTTTCTAATGTGAGTCTAGGGGGCTAGTGATATAAGCTAAATAGAGAATATGAGAGGCTAAGAATATTCAAAGCATAAAATGAATTCAATTTTTGGCATGTTGGAAATTGTGCTACCTCTGGTATATTCAGAGAGAGATCTAGAGAACAGTTGGATATACAAATTTGAAATTCAAGGATAGATGATGTACATTTGGGACTCATCAACATATTGGTGGTTGTTGAAATCATGCACGGCAAAATTGAATGAAATGAGAAGTACATTGAAAACAGATTAATTTCATCTAGTGATAGCACCTTCTATTTCTGGTCAATGCTCATATCTACCAACATCCTTGTCATCTTTCTTCATTTATGGACAACATTGGCACATGGCTCATTTTCTTCCTCTCCAGTAAAGGTTGACTGTCATTACAGATGGTTCATCTAACCCTCTAATCTCAGTTCCTTGATCAGCTTTAAAGTCCTTCATCAAACTCTCAGCTTTAAGAATTCACATCCACACACCTGTAACTTGTCTTCCACTGTTATGTTTCAAAAGAATTAGGCTTAGGTCTCCTATTTTATGAATATAGACTTCTAATTCACTCACACTGATGTTTTCACTGTTGCTCTTTATGCTCACTGAGACTTCTATTATTCCGTCCTCTTACTACTATGTTACTTTCTACTCTTACACTCTACCGTGTTCTCATTCTTGGTCATTCTGTTTTTTAATTGTTCTCTGTACTTCAGGATCTACCATTTCAATCACTATCTTGCCAATAATCTAAAATCATTTGTCGTGTTATCCTTTTATACATGGGTTTAACAATCCACAGCTGAATCCAGTTGGGTTTTGTTTTATTTATTTAGCAAACACATGATACTTATATAAAGATTTGTATATCTAAGAATATCACAAGTTTAACTTTTAATTTCCTAAAAGCTATGGAGATAGGCACACGCAGGATGTTTCCTGCAAGAAACTCACACCATTACAAGTTGTGATAACCAACCAGGAACACAAATTTTTCCCTTTTCTCTATGGAGAAACAAACCACTTGTGTGAAAAGTTAAATTCCCATGGGGCAAGAATATTGGACAGGCCAGCAGAAGAAAAACAGCTTGCCAGTCCACCAGCATAACCACCAGACATGTGGATGCAGGGAAAAGCCTTCAGATGATTTTAGCCTCTAGTCTAGCCTCTGAAGTACCTAGCTGAACCTCAGCGATCATTGAGCAAAGACTGCCTTTTTTTGCTTCAATAACAGTTTATTGCTAAATCCAACAATATCTTTCAAGCCTTAATTTTACTTGATTCTTTGAGATATTTAACACAATTGACCAAATCCTTAGTCTTTTAATATTGTCTTAATTATGTTATATCACTATATTCTGATTTTACTTACACCTTTTAGTCTTTCCTTAGTCTCCAACGAGAGCTCCTCTACCCACTTTCCTTAGGGTCTTGTCCTAGGCCTTGTTGGGCCTAGTCCTCAGTCATGAGTACACAGTTGAGAACAACTACTGTGGGTGACCTTATTCACTTCCATGGCTTCAAAAGTTCCTAAATGCCAATATTTCTTTCTTTTTTTTTTTTCTTTTTTGAGATAGAGTCTTGCTCTGTTGCCTCGACTAGAGTGCATGGCGTCAGACTAGTCACAGCAACCTCAACTCCTGGGCTCAAGCAATCCTTCTGCCTCAGCCTTCTGAGTAGCTGGACTACAGGCATGCACCACCACGCCACCTAATTTTTTTATTATTTTAGTTGTCCAGCTAATTTCTTATTTTAGTAGAGATGAGGTCTCACTATTGCTCATGCTGGTCTTGAACTCCTGACCTTGAGCAATCCTCCTGCCTCAACCTTCCAGAGTGCTAGGATTACAGGCGTGAGCCACCACACACGGCCTCCAATATTTCTTAAATACATATTTAGTCCAGATGTTTCTTCTGTGCTTCTGAAAAATGTATCAAACTACTAAGCAAACATTAGAAATAATCTCTTGGATGTTTCACAGATACATCAAACTCAACATACAGCAGAATGAATGTATCATCTTTCTTATCAATATCTTTTTCTGTTTTCTTTTTTACTACATGAGATCAACATCTAATAGACATAATTTCCTAATCCAGAAATCTAGGATTTTTCTTCTTGGGTACTGTAGATCCCATACCATGATACAGTTAATCAAATTCTACTGGTAACATTTAATCAATACCTTTCTCTTGACTCCCAGTGCCACCTTATTTTTGTACCAGCCACATCAACTATTTTCCTCCCTTATTATGATATTCTCCCTTTCACACTGCCTTTTTTAATCTATCGTCCACACCATAACCAGAATATCTATAGTAAAATATGAACACATCTGTTCCTGTTTAATACCTTTAAATAGCTAATCATTTCCCCAAAGATCAGTTTGAACTCTTGATAACAACAAAGACATCTTCACCTCAACTTTACCAGCTCTCTTCTATATAGACTATTCTAATTTGTCTCTCATTTCTTGGTCTGAAATTCTATCCTAGCCATTTATGTCTCATTTTCTCCATTCCTCTTCTTCAACAAGGTCTTTACACAGTTAACTCTGTCTCCATTTATGTAGTACTAATTCTAAACTACTTCTTTCCCACAGTAGGATATATTGAGCTTTCCTACCTCTTTGATATCCTAACAGCCTATGCTTACCTCTATTACAGAACTTTAATATTATCCCTATTAAACAAAGTAATTCTGTGTTTACATGTTTTTGTCTCATTAGACTTATGGCTCAGTGGTGGCAAAGACTTGCTCACTGTTGTATACTCAGGGCTATACTCAGTGTTGTATACTCAGTATCTGTGACAAATAACACAATAACAGTTAATCTTAGTCAAAAATCTTGATATGGAAAGAGAGAGAAAAGCACGCTTTACAAAGGTTTCATGGACAGATTAGAAGTGAAGCAGTGAGACAAAGAACCTAGACAAACTTCTGATTCGTTAAATCAGAATAGAAAAAATGAAGTGTAATGGAATAAAAAGTAAGATCCTATAGAGAATTGTAAATACTAAGACAAAACTATCACATCTCCATGTAACACATATGTTTCCTATTCAATACATGTGCTAAGTTTGCAAGAGACTATCAATTTCCTTACTATTTCATTTTCTAGGATGGCAGTAGTCTCAAATAAGAAGTGTAATAAATATTATTCTATTCTGAAACAATGAGAGCCAAAGAATTAATCACAGAAGTTTAAAGAGTAGGGCAGACTAGATATTGAATAACAAAGCAAAGCCATTCTTTAGAGTATAATGAAATTATAAGTTAAATCATTGATAAAGATTATACTAAAATCAAAGATAAAACATAAAATCTCTCATCAAAGTTTTAAATTAACCAATGTCTTTTCAATGTCAATGAATATTTTTAATACATGAAATAATGTCTCTGAACAAAGAACAAATCCTAACATCTCTTATATCCATAAATAATTAAATAGTACTTTCTCTGGTAATAAGTAGTTTCATCCCAGTAAGGCTATTTCTCAGAAAGTCAAGGTTTGGGGAGGAAAATCTGATCTTGAGGTTTCTTATGAACTTTACCTTTGACATTCACTTTTGCCTTTGTTGCTGAAATTGGACTTACATCAAAAGAGAATGAACCATTATAGCTGGAAACCTGTTGTGTTTGAGACCCACTAGGAGAGAACAGGAAGTGTTCCTTTCGGAGCATTGCTGTGAGGACTCTTAGAACGCTTCCTGATGTCAGATATAGAACCTTCTTAAGTGAATGCATGACATTTGAAACATCACATCCCTTTTTTCTTTAATACTAGAATGCACTTTTACTTCTTACCTTGCTGCACAAAGGATCCATACACGAACCACATGGAGTTATAGAGAGTAGTAGACGTCATTGATCCCATTTGTAATCGCGGGGGGTTAAGCCAGTTCAAGAGGTAGACCAGCAGACCCACCAGCAGGACTGTGCCGGCAATGCAAGCCCAGAGAGAGAGATCAAATGGTGCAAGACAGGCAAACATGTCCACTGTCTTTTCAGCCCTTCGAAGTAGTACCCCCACTGAGTAGTCCATGTAACGTGTTGTGAAGTCCACCACATTCTCACGATCCGGAGTGATGGTTAAAGCAGAAATCCCTATGTCGGCTCTCTGAAAAATTGGAAGAGAAAGGAGTACATTAACAGTGTGAAAAACAATTTCATTTGTGGCACTTCAGCTTGCCTTGAGGGAAAAAAACAGATGCCTCAGGCAATATCTTAAGTCTTTTTATATAAACTGAAAAACACTGCAGACTTCTTGCAGAAGAGCTATATGTGAACTTTGCATTTCTTACTGCAAATCTTGCCCCAACAGAGTCAGACAAATTGCCTTGTTCATATTATCAGTGCAAGTAAAATCAGTTAAGAATATTTCAGACACAGATAATACAGGAAGAAAATTGTCTTTTTTCCTTGGGTTATTTTATCAAAACCATCATTAGCACAGTAGTAAAGGAAAATTTTATACTAAAGAATTCTTTCTGGGAAAATGTTCCAAAGATATTCAATATGTTCTCAATATGTAAATTATTAGGTTGGTTATTTAAAAGCTTTAACGTGGCATTTTGCCCTTCCTTTAAATTTCTCTGCATTAGAATTTATATTATTGGGCTCTAAACATACTAATGTTTGTTAGAGCTTTTATATCACTAATTTTATAAAGTCATATGCCACATGTCTCTACCATGATTGCATTATACAAATTTCAGGAACATTGTAATATACAATTAAAGATTAAAGAGACAGAATGCTTCTTGGAGTAGTAATACCTTTTTTTCAGTATGTATTGCCTTATATTCTCAGTGATAGCACTTACAACTATGGCATATGTTATTTTACTTACTTAAAACACATAACAGAATTGCAGTACAAATGACTTCACATTTAAATTCTGTAATATAATAATATCTAATATTTAAATATCTAAAAGATGCATCTTTTTTGAAATAACAATCTTTGGCTGCTATTGAAGCTGTGAGAAGCCCCTTCCACACAAATACAAACACTAGTAAATTTTTTGTTGAACATTTTCTGGTTACTTTTCTTTCTTTTTTATTGTTTAATGAAAGAAGATAGATACTTGTTTTACTGCTTTTCAGGACCAAGAAAAAATTAATAGGCCTAGTGGAATGCTAAACCAATTGAGATGAATCTGATCTCTGAAGTAATAATGCTCTTAAAAATATTCTAGCTTCTTTATCCATTTCCGTAAACAAGTGACATCAGCTCCATTATTAACTTATATCTAGCAAATGTGTTATTTGCAACCAATCCTCACTCATATTTTATTACAGTAAAGTGATAAGTTATAGAAAAGTTTTCGGAAATCTGTGCCTTTTGTAGCACCAAAAACAGAGAAAACAGCCTTGTAACTAGCCATTTGTTTCAGCCACAATTTTTCATCATATGAAATTCTGTAGTTTAATAAAAAGATATTATATGATTAAAAATATTCTACCTATAGTTAAGCTGTGTATGTGTGGTGCGTGTGTGTACACCAAGCCCAAATATATTTGGTGCTAGGTCCAGTGCTAAAGTATTTAAATAATTTTTCACTAAATCCTTACAATAAGCTATGAATTATGCATTTCATTTCCTTTTTAGAAGTGTAGAAATATATTCATTTTATGTAGCTAGATATTGGGAATTGAGTCTTTTCAAATTAAAAATATAACCGGGATTCTTAGCCCTCTAGTCCTATCTCTTCTGAGCTTCAATTTATCTATTTGTGAAATGAATGTAACTATTTAGTATCACTATTATGAGCTGACTCATTTATCTCAATCTAAATGGTGAATAAATAACTCTCCAAGATTCAATTAGGCTCTCAGAAGGTGCATTTACTTTTTCAGGACATTAAAGTACTATGGATCAGTAATTTACTAATTGATCACTAGTGACCCAAAGTAGTTAATGACTCAACTGAAGTCAGAAAATTCTGCCTAAGGAAGGATTTACTGACAACATGTTGATTGAATATTTGTAAAACATTCATAAATATATTTCTACTAAATAATTAAGTGTTCTACATTTAAATGATTATAAACTGAAATGGTCATTCTACTAATTTTAATAATGCATATTTCTAAATGTCACGAAGTGAATTTCTATAATGGAATGAAAATATCTAGGGACTTCTATTTACTTAAACAAAAGGGAACTAATTATTTTGTATGTGCTAAAATATTTATTAAATATAAAAATTACTTGTCATGTATCTGCAGAGAAATTCCTTCTGGTCTATGTTCAACACTTGGTTATTCTATTTTCAAGGGGAAAGTGCTTGCTCCCCTGTGGAGGGCATATCCGAATCCTATAATGGACTTTTTCACTCTGCACAAATGCGTGCACATGTGCAACACGTACTTTTCTGTCTCTGAGTTTTGTATACACCTTTCTGAGGAGGTACCTCACTCTATCCTTCAGAATCAGTGATCTAGCAGATCACTGTGATAGTCCTTGCTTGTATTAGAGATGCTATCTGGAGCAGAAAAAAGCCAAGAGCCATTGGATCAGACATCTGGCCCTAAAACACTTCCTTAATATCTATAGACATAACTAGAAACGATCAGAGACATTGCTCATGCTTACCCATTTTATTTTTTTATTTATATTTTAAGGCAAGTGTGAAGCGAAGTTTATTGAGGAAGGGCATGGAGCAAGAGCAAAATATAGCTTTACAGAGTAAGAGCAAGATACATTTGCCACAGAACAGTGAACGGACCTCTCTGTTGTAACAAAAGGACCCATCTTATTTATTTGGTCAACTCATTTGTCCACTTTTTATAATGAGCTTTCAAATCTTTTACCCTTATGAAATCTTTAATTTTCCCACTATCCCACCCCCAACTCTCAGAAGTGAACTCCTACCACTATTATATCGAGAACATAGAAGATCTAAGATAAAAATTTACACTTATTTCTACCTCCCAACCCATAGCACATACCCAGCCTATTCTATTTAACCCATTTACAGTACAGGAGCTATCTTCCTTCCTATCTAACGCCAAACCTCTATCAGTAAACTTAGTCACTCTCCGCCATTTCAGACACTAAAACTTCTTTCTCATGCATTCATCATCATCCTAATCAACTGTAGATTTCCAATTTAAAGATTCTTCATCTGTTTCTCATTAAAATAAAAACAAAGAGAGAACATCCTTTCCCTCTAACCTCTAAGACCTCCTACTACCAGTTAACTACGCTTTCTATTTTTATACATCCCAGTCACTCGGAGAAGACTTTTGCACCCACATTGTTGGGTACTCTATTACTCATGGAAACAGCACTTTTTAATCTTTGCATTGCTGAATCAAATGGATAGAATTCCATGCTCATCTGATTACGTCTCTTGAAAACATTTGAAAGTGATGACTGCTCCCTTCATCATAAACATTCTTTTCTCTTGGATTCCATGTTATAACATAAATCTTGCTCAGTTCGTTTTTCAAGTTCATCTCAAGAATTCTCTGAACTTAGGCTTACACCGTTTTCTCATTTGAGATCCTCTGCCTAGGCAATCCCCTTCACATCCACCACTTCCATTGTCTCATTCTACACAGCTGATTCACAAATCTAGGTTATTAAGTATGAAATGTCCGATTTCCTTAAGTACTTTGACAGTTCATATCTGTGACATTTCACTCTGACACTTCTTGTTTTATTTTTCTTGTGAAAATACATCCTTATTCTTTCAAATGCATATCTTGGCTTGTGATTATCTTTCAAAGTTTTTTTTTAGAGCAATTTTTGTGAAACCATGGGAAAGTCAAAAATTTATGTTATTTTTGAATATGAGTTCTGTCATGGAAACAATGCAGTTCAAACAGCTCAAAATATCAATGAAGTGTTTAGGAAGGATGTGGCTAAGAATGCATAGTATGTCAATGGTTTGAGAAGTTCCATTCTTGTGATTTTAATTTTGAAAATGAGTCACGTGGGTGACCTGAGACCAAGGTGGATAATGATGAGCTGAAAGTTGTAGTGGAAGTGAATCCATCTTAACCTACTCGGGAATTAGCAGCAAGTTTGACATTACTATTCCAACAATATTGGACCATTTTATTAAACAGGCAAGGTAAAGAAATAAACCAGCGAGATAAAGAAACTGAATAGATGGGCAGTGCATGAATTAAATGAGCGTCAGAAGAGAAACTATCTGGAAGTTTGCCTTTTGTGCTGTCATGACATAAAGGCAAACCATTTCTACACTGTATTGTGATGTGTGATGAAAAATTGATTCTTTTTGATAATTGCAAGTGTTCAGCACAATGATTGGATAAAGATGAGGTGCTGAAACACAATCCAAAACCGAATATGCATGAAAAAAAGCTAATGGTGTCTGGTAATCCAGCGCTAGTATTATCCACTACAACTTCATGAAATCTGGTCAACCAATTACAGCGGATGTCTACTGCAACCAAGTGGGAAAATGATGAGGATGCTTGTGATTAAGCAGCCGAGATTGGTCAATAGGGACAGGCCAGCCCTCTTGCAAGACAACACTTCACTACATCACACAAACCACACTGTTCAAACTAGAGAAGCTGGAATTGGAAACTCTCTGTTATCCACTGTATTCACCAGACCTTGCATCAACTGACTACCACTTCTTCCAGGCTTTGGACCATTTCTTGCAAGGAAAAATATTCAATTTTCAACAAGCTGTGGAAAATGCATTTCATGATTCCATCACCACTTGCTCTCCAGGCTTCTTCACTGCTGGCATAAACAAGCTACCATTAAGATGACAAAACTTTTAGTTTAGGTACATACTTGATTAATTGTACTTCTTCTTGTTTGAGAGATAATAAACTACACTTTTGATTCAAAATTGGACATTTCATATTTAATGACCTAGTATTTCTAACATGTATCTGAGTTCTGGAGTCTAAGACTGATTTATTCAACTACATAATTAACATCTCTATTAAATGTCTCAAAAACACCTCAGATTTAACAGTCAAGATCACAGGGATAATATTGAACTCTAACTAGTCCTCTTCCAATGTCTCCTGCTTCACTGAGTGACATCTTTTTACAAAAGTCATAAAACGTGGTAGCCTCATTATCTTCCCCAGCCTTATGCCTTCTATCAAATCTGATACTATT